TAGACCCTTATGAGGTCACTGAGTTGCCCCTCTGCAGCATCCTGTTCTGCTGATGGGGAAACCAAAGCCACGAAACCAGAGAAACCCACTCAAAATCTATCCTGGCGGGGGACACCTGGGTGCTCACTGGAGTGAGGGAGAGTACAGAGGGCCTGGAAGCACACCTAGAACCTCCATGGTGCTCAGGTCTGGCCCCCAGGTCACTTAGGTTTGTCAACAGCGCCCCCTGCTGGCTGTTTGGGCCACCGGTGGCCCTTTGTCCTGGTGGTCAGTGGCCTGCCGACAGGGGGATGAAGGCCTTCCAGGCATGGGGTTTCTTTATACTTCTCTTCCATCTCCTCCAGCTAGGAGCTGAGCCAGCCCAGGCCTTTGTGGGATGGGTCTCCCTGTCCTGGCTGGCTGTGAAAGTTGAATTCTCTATTGGAACCCTGGCTACCAGTGTTCACCCATGCCCCCACATGGGACCCAGGTCTTCACTGCTGCAGGGCTATCACGTGGTGCCTGGGAGACCACCAGGGTCCTTTGGCTGTGATGGGGACTGGCACCAGGAACTGAGATGGCCTTGCTGAAGGTGGCAATGTCTTGATCCTGCTCTGGGCTCTCTGTGTCCTTGTCTTCCCCACCATGGTTTGTGCCTGGCCCCAGGAGCCTTTGTCATGTGGATGCTGGCTGAGGGTCTGTGTGGGTAAACTCAGGGGGACACATTCAGCTCCCGCTTGCGTGACCTACAGAAGTAGCAAGCGGAGCTGCCCTGATCACACCCCTGCTGACCCAGACCACACACACACACACACACGCACACCTGTATCCTACCCCCTCCCCAGGACCTGTTCAAGAGTGAAAATTGTAAAGGGAAAGCCAGGATTCTAGAGCTGGCTCCTACCCAACAAGCTGTAATCTCCAAGCCTCAGTTTCTTCATCTGTAAAATGGGCATGTAACTACATTCTCTTACCTGTGCTGTGCCTGGACCAGTACCTGACTTGTAGGAGCTCAGCACATGGTCATCTAATAGGTAAATATGGGCTCGGACCAAGAGTTCCTTGAACACAAGAAAATGATTTCATTTTAATCTCTGCATGCCCAATCCATCTAGCCTAGGACCCTGCACAGTGTCGTTATTAAAAAGCATTTTGGCCAGATGCAGTGGCTCACGCCTGTAATCCCAGCACTTTGGGAGGCCGAGGTGGGCAGATCACGAGGTCAGGAGATCGAGACCATCCTGGCTAACACAGTGAAACCCGTCTCTACTGAAAATACAAAAAATTAGCTGGACGTGGTGGCAGGCGCCTGTAGTCACAGCTACTCTGGAGGCTGAGGCAGGAGAACGGCGTGAACCCGGGAGGTGGAGCTTACAATGAGCCGAGATCGCACCACTGCACTCCAGCCTGGGCGACAGACTCATCTCAAAACAAAACAAAACAAAACAAAACAAAACAAAGAGCATTTCTTGGGACAGCGTAAGCATGTACGAATGAGCAAGTGGAGACTAAAGATGTTTGAATGGATGAGTAGACAGGTGAACAGGCGGGCATTTGTTTTTATTATTGTTATTTTTTAAATTTTCTTTTTGGGTGCTCCATCACCCTCCTCCTCCTTCCCCAGGCAGGTATTTCGATGGATAAATGATGGGTGGAGAAATTGGGCGGCGGGTGGGATGAATGGAGGGATGGTTGGCAGGGTGACGGTGGAAGAAATAAGTATGGGCACAACCCCCACTTTCCCCTTCTTGCTGGAGAGCTCCAGAAAGCACTTATCAAAAGTACAGAGTCCCAGATGACCCAGGATGTCCACTTCTGAGTGTATGTTCTCTAGACTAATTCACACACATGTGATGTGCCGGTATGAACGGTTATTCCTGCAGCACTGCAATGATAAAAATTTGGAGCCAGGCACGGTGGCTCACGCCTGTAATCCCAGCACTTCGGGAGGCCGAGGTGGGCGGATTGCCTGAGGTCAGGAGTTTGAGACCAGCCTGGCCCATATGGTGAAACCCCATCTCTATTAAAAATATAAAAATTAGCCGGGCGTGGTGGCAGGCGCCTGTAATCCCAGCTACTCGGGAAGCTGAGACAGGAGAATCGCTTGAACCCGGGAGGCGGAGGCTGCAGTGAGCCAAGATCATGCCATTGCACTCCAGTCTGGGAGACAGAGGGAGACTCAGTCTCAAAATGAAAGAAAAAGAAAGAAAAAGAAAAATTTGGAAACAGGTTCAGGGTCCCTCATTTCAGGCTGGAGTGTGAGCCCCCTGAGCAGAGGGGCCTTGTCTGGGGGCTCAAGCCTTAGAACAGCACCTGGCAGGGGGTCAATGGACCGATGTTAGTTGGATGATGCTTCATCATACCTAGGAATACTGTGCAGCCATTAAAAAATGAAAAGGTGGCCAGGCGCAGTGGCTCACACCTGTAATCCCAGCACTTTGGGAGGCCAAGGCAGGCGAATCATGAGGTAAGGAGATCGAGACCATCCTGGCTAACACAGTGAAACCCCATTTCTACTAAAAATACAAAAAATTAGCCAAGTGTGGCCGGGTGCGGTGGCACATGAATCCTAGTACTTTGGGAGGCCGAGGTGGGCAGATCACCAGGTCAGGAGATCGAGACCATCCTGGTTAACACGGTGAAACCCCGTCCCTACTAAAAGTACAAAAAATTAGCCGGGCGTGGTGGCGGGCGCCTGTAGTCGCAACTACTCAGAAGGCTGAGGCAGGAGAATGGCATGAACCTGGGAGGCGGAGCTTACAGTGAGCCGAGATCGCGCCACTGTACTCCAGCCTGGTGAAAGTGCAAGACTCCGTCTCCAAAAAAAAAAAAAAAAAAAGAAAAGAAAATTAGCCAGGCATAGTGGCAGCGCCTGTGGTCCCAGCTACTTGGGAGGCTGAAACAGGAGACTCGCTTGAACCCGGGAGGCGGAGGTTGCAGTGAGCCAAGATTGTGCCACTGCACTCTAGCCTGGGCAACAAAGCAAAACTGTCTCAAAAAAAAAGAAAGAAAAGGAAGAAAAGGAAGACGCTCTTTGTGTCTTGATGTGGAATAAACTTTCAGATGTATCAAGAGGAAGAAAAAAGCGACGTCCAAATAATGTGTAATGTTATTTTCTGTTTTTAAAAATGTGGCAAGAAAAAGTGCGTGTAGATATTTGCTTCTAGATGAGACTCTCCAGAAGGGGGACTGATGGCACTGGTTCTCCTAGAAAAGGCACCAGGGGCCTGGGGACAGGGTCTGGACCCAGGACTGGATACCTTTGTGGACTTTCTGATTTTTGAACCATGCAAATGAATTACCTTTTCAGACACACATGGAGCAATAAGAATTGCAGCAAGAGCTATACATCCTTTAAAGCAATTGGAGGAGGAACAGGACTTTCTTCCAAAGGCTGGGGCCGGGCAGAGGTGTTAGTTCCCTCAACGAGCGTGTGTAGAAAGCAGACAGGCAGGCAGACACACCTACACTTCCACCAGCTGCGAGGATTTGGCACATCTGGGGACCTCAGTTTCCTCACCTGTAAAATGGAGATGATCCTAGCCTTACAGAGTGGGTGTGAAGAGGAAAGGAGAGAATGCAAGTGTCCAGCACATGAAAAGTCCAGGGTGACATGGCCAGAGATGAGGGGTCTTTAGTGGGGAGTGTGGCAGAGTAGCAGAGAAGGCTTAGGGCTCCAGGTCTCCTGTCCAGCACCCTGGGTCTGACCGAAATGTCTGCAGCCTGAACTATCCACTGGGGGCAGGAGGGCAAACCGAGCTGGCAGCGGGCAGACTCCTGCCTTGGCCCAAGAACCTGAATCCCTGAGCAGTGGGTGGACTAGGGCCTTACAGTCCTTCCTCTCTCTACCTAGATCTCTGCCATTGCTGTGTGGCCTCCCTGGAGCGGCCTGGGGACTCCTGGGGCTATTTCAAGCCGAGGGAGCTTCCTCCACTTAGCTCTGTCATCCAGAAGGAAGTCCCATTCATGCTAATGGCTCTGACGCTCCCTTCTCCCACACTTCAGGAAGGGTGAGCCTAGTGCCAAGCCATCCGTGCACCCGCACTGTCAGCCTTGCACAATGGAAACCGCGGGCTGGCAGTCAGGAACCCTGGTTTCTGGTGTGGGCTCAGACACCACTTGCTGTGCCACCCTGGCTTTTCTCTTTCTGTCTCTCAGCCTCAGTTTCTTTATCTAGAAAATGGCTGTGGTGGTCATTCTTATCCTCCTTTTCCAAGAGGGCAAAGTGAAAAAAACAGTTGTGAACGGTTTGTAAATTATGGAGAACTCTAAAGCCTGAGGGACTGGGGGAGGGCAGGTGCCACCTGAGATCTCCACTCAGAGGACACGTGCACTGAAGGTCATCATATGGGAAGGTCCCCCTGCACATGTATGAACACACACACACACGTACACACACACACACACGGGCCAAGCCCTGAACCAGGAATCCAAGGGGAATTGCCACCTCTCCCACCACCCAAAACACACATGCACGTACAGAAATGTGTGCACCTGGCTGGGAGTGGTGGCTCACACCTGTAATCCCAGCACTTTGGGAGGCTGAGGTGGGCGGATCACCTGAGGTCAGGAGTTTGAGACCAGCCTGGCCAACATGGTGAAACTCCATCTCTACTAAAAATACAAAAATTAGCCAGGTGTGTGGTGGACACCTGTAATCCCAGCTACTCCGGAGACTGAGGCAGGATAATCGCTTGAGCCTGGGAGGCAGAGGTTGCAATGAGCCGAGATCACACCACTGCACTCCAGCCTAGGTGACAAGAGCGAAACTCCATCTCAAAAAAAAAGAAAAGAAAAGAAATGTGGGCGTGCCTGCCCAGTGCTCACATGTGCCACACATGGAAAGCACCTGGAACATTTTCCTGCCCTCAGCCCAGTGAGGTACCCCAGGTGCAGCCCCACAGGGCCCAGCAAAGGGCTCTGGAACCTACCAGTGTTGTGGCCAGAGGGCAGTTGGGAGGCTGGTGCAAGGTTGGCAGGCCTGGCGTGATCCAATAACACCCTCTCCCTTCTCTTCGCAGGCTGGACAACGTTCATGGCTCTCGGGTAGAACCCAGCGAAACGGCCAGAATGAATTCTATGGACAGGCACATCCAGCAGACCAATGACCGACTGCAGTGCATCAAGCAGGTGGGTGTGGGGCAAGGCACACTCTGAGGGCGGGACAGATGGGGCGGACAGAGCAGCAGGCCTATGCTATAGCAACAGGGCATCCGGCAGGTGCTGGCTGGAGCGGATGGCAGGGCCTCCTGACCACCTACCTATCGAGGCCGTTATTGGCATGCTGGCACTGACCAGCCTAATGCTGGAATCACCTGCCTGGGTTTCAATGCCAATGCTCCCCTGTCCCTTTGCACACCCTTCCCAGCTGTGTGACATTGGGCCAGTGTTGTGGCCTCTCTGGGCTCTGTTTATGTGCAAGGCTGCAGTGATGCACCTGGCACTTCCATGTCCCTCCCACCACCTCCCTCCCCAGAACTAAGCTCCCTACCTCTTTGCTCCAGTTGTTCTTTAAAAAAAAAAAAAGTCACAGGCGTGTGGCAGCTCACGCCTGTAATCCCAGGACTTGGAGAGGCCAAGGTAGGAAGATTGCATGAGCCCAGGAGTTTGAGCCCAGCCTGGGTAACATAGCAAGACCCTGTCTCGGCGGGGGGGGGAAGGAAGAGAAAAGAAAGAAAAGAAAAGAAATTAAAGCTGAGAAAATTTTAAAATATTTACTAATTTATTTAAAAAGAGGAACCCATTATAGGCTGGGCCCAGTGGTTCATACCTGTAATCTCAGCACTTTGGGAGGCTAAGGGAGGAGGATCACTTGAAGCCAAGAATTTGAAACCAGCCTGGGCAACATAGTGAGACCCCATCTCTATTTAAAAAAAAAAAAAAAAAAGCCACAAGAGAAGAGGTCCTAGGAAATCGTATCATTTTACAGGAAACGAAACAAGTACAGAGAGGAGAAGTGGGTAGCCTGAGGCCACTCAGCCCCTCTGGTGCTGGGAAGACCTCATTCCAGAGAGTGCCATGGTCCCCCGCCTGCCGAAGCTCACACCAAGCCCAAGAGGCAGGCTGCCCAGGAGTTCCTCTATTTGACTGCGGGGAGGTGGGGAATCTTTCACAGGGGCGCCCCCAAGCGGTGGCCAGGAGTGATGCGCCCAACCGCTGGGCCCAGCTCCCACAGCCCAGGCTGGTAGCTTCCCTGTGCAGACCGAGGAACATTATTCACTCCAGGAAGGATCAGATACAGCGAGAGGGGCACGGGCTTTGGTGTCAGATGCCTTGGACCCAAGTCCTCATTATTCTATGGACCCACAATGGGATCTCAAGCTAGTCCTCCATTTCTCTGAGCCTCAGTTTCCCCATGTGTCAAATGGGGCCCACCTCGTAGGATGATGTGAGGATGTTATGGGTGAGACACGTAGCCCAGCCCTAGTGTGTGGTGGGTGATCAGCTAATGGCAGTGGTGGCCATTGTCCTCAATATGTGACAGGGAAGGGAGTGCTGGGGCTCGGGCCCCTGGCCTAGGCCAGCTTAGCAAGAAGCTCAGGCAACCAGCATGGGCTGCTGGCCCCTGGGTTCCAGCCAGGTGGAGCTCACAGGCCCCTCCCCACCCAGCCTTCCCTGCCTGAGGGCCAGGGCCCAGACGGAGCCTCCCCAAGGTGCCTGCCCAGTAGAACTGAGGCTATTCCACGAGAACGAGGGGTGTGTGTCCTCTTATTAGCATCGAGCAGAGCAATCTTGAAGTCCGTGCGGGGTCTGTGGAGAGGAAATTGAAGAAGACTTGTTATGGATTGAACCCAACCCCAATGGCTCTCCCAAAAGCCCGTTAAGCGCCTCTGCTCACCATGGCAGAATAGAAACCAGACGCTGAGACTCCCTCCTGCCCCACCCTCCCTCCTCCCACTTAGGGTTCTGCAGGGCTCTCTCCTAGCTCTGCCTTTCACCCCGTTTCTCCCACCCTTTGCTCACTGGCAGTGGCCCTGCCCCCACAATGGGACACTCATGCCTCCTGTGCGTGAGACCCTCCACATGGCAGGCACATCACTCCTGCCGAGACCTGCTCTCACCCTCTTTCCTCTAGGCACCCAGCTCCGTATCACTAGGGGTCAGGGTGCACCTGACTTCCTTGGCCCTCCCTGGGTCTAGCTTGGGCAGAGCCCACCAGAAGCCCCTCACAGCATGGCACACAGCTCAGTCACCATTGCGTCGCTTACAAACTATGCAGCCTTAAGTTGCTGCTTCACCTCCCTTCATCTATAAAATGGGCATTATAATTAATGCACACTCAACCAGCACATGCCAGAGCCCACACCACCCTCCCTCACCTGCCCTGGCACACACATGCATGCACACACATAGAGGGCTCTGCCTTTCAGCCAGGCAGTGGTGCGTTTGTGAGTGTGAGCAACCTGCCCAGATGCCCCCTGGGCCATCCAGAGCTCCCTGCATGCTCCATGCCCCTCCTCCCACACCCCCGGTCAGACACAGCTCAGTGCTGACTTCTGTCTGCTCCACAGCTGCCCTAGAAGGCAGCCTCGGCTGGCTGGGGGTTGTTGATTCTCAGGCATCCTGTAACCTAATCAGAAGAGAAAGGCAAGCATGTCTGCACAAGCTGAGATGATGGATGTGTCGGCTGTGCAGACTTCGGGCCGGTAGGGGCTGTGGTTCCCTCACCTCTCCACACAGCCATCCCTTCCTGCCCTCACCTTGGTTGTAGCGTTTGCTGACATTCACCAACCCCCGCCCTCTGCACCCTGCTGACCAGGTCTCTTCACAGCCTCTATCTCAGCTGCCTTTGTCCCTTCTCCGCCTCTTGGTACTGGGAGAACCAGTGCTTCCTCTCTGCAACATGCCCTTCTCAGAGATGACTGGCACATCCAAGCTCCACGTGGAGAGCCCTGCACATCAGCTCATTCCTGTTCAGCAGCTGCCCGGAACCCCAGGGGCCCTTCCGAGCATCTGTACCCCATCCCTGAGCTAGAACACTTCCTGTGCACCCAGCTATCTCACCTACCCTGTTCTGTCTCTCTGGAGCTATGGGCCCTGTAGGAATACATCAGGTCTCCCACCAGGTTGAGCTCCTTGGGGGCAGAGGACATGCCATATTCATCTCAAAATCACAGAATCTAGCATAGCATCCAGCTCAGAGTGGGGCCCAACTATTTTGGGTGGGCTGAGGAGAGGGGTGGGCTGATTAATAGATACGTAAGGGAATGGATGGATGGATGGACATATGGGCAGATAATTAGATGGGTGGGTGGGTGGACATGTATAGATGATGAATGGATAAATGGATGAATAAACAGATAGGTGGGTGGCTGGATAAATTGACTTCTGGATGAATGGGTAGATAGGTAGATGAATGAAGGGATGGATGAGTGGTGGATAAAGTGGTGAATGGATGAATGGGTGGGTTGGCAAGCAGACAGATGGATGAATTGATTCATTTAGGATGGATGGATGGATGGATGGATGGATGGATGGATGGATGGATGGATACATGCATAGATTGATGACTGGATGAATCATTTGATTCACAGATGGACTGGTGGACAGATGGATTGATAAGATGAATTCATCATTTCAAGGCATTGTTGTGCCCTGTTCCTGCCCCAGCAGATTCAATGCCTTTGGATATAGCCCAACTCTTATGAGGAATTATAGAGATGGGCAGGCTTTCTGATGGGGGACAGAGTACTAGTGTCCGGTAACAGCGACAGTTAGGGAGGCCTCTGCCTATGATTCAAACGTGTGCTCCCATCCCCAGCCCATCAATGGCTGGCCAAGCTCACCCCTGCCCTGCCCTGGCCCCTCCCTCCACCTCCCACTGGGGCTCATTCTGCAGTAGCCACCTTGCTGGCCTACACAGCAGGCTCACCATCCTTTGGACAGTTAACTGCTCCCCAATCATTTCCCATGGGGCCCAGCCTTGTGCCAGCCTTTGGGGTTCCAGAGGTGAACAGGAAGGAGGCTGTTTCTCCCCTCAAGAGGCTCACAAGAGAAACAGGGAACCGTGGAGGGTCCCTGGCATCAATAGCAGTAGCAGTCTTCCCCTGGGCTCCTGCTCTGTCATGAGTTCCCTGTCATTTCTCAACTTTGCAGCAGCCCTGAATGCCGTCACTGCCCCGTTTCACAGATGTGGGGTCTGATGTGCAGCACCGTCTCCTGGGCTGCATGGCTCAGCGACTCAGACGGGGTTTGGACCATGTCTGTCCTGCTTGTTTCACTAAATCACTTTGTCTCTCTGTGCACTTCAGTCACCTCATGGTTGAAATAGGCGACAATGGCACAGAGAGGGGAGGGGGCTTGGCCAAGGCCAAAGAGCTGCACAGTAGCCAGCAGTGTATTCCCAGCACTTTGGGAGACTGTGGTGGGAGGACTACTTGAGCTCAGGAGTGTAAGACCAGCCTAGGCAACATAGCAAGACCTCATCTCTATTAAAAATCAACAACAACAAAAAGTAGCCAGGCATGGTGGTGCACACCGGTAATCCAAGCTACTTGGCAAGCTGAAGTGGGAGGATCCCTTGAGCCCAGGAGACTAAAGCTGCAGTGAGCTATGATTGCACTGCTATACTCCAGCCTGGGTGACAGAATGAGACCCTGTCAAAAAAAAAAAAAAAACAAAAAAAAAAACAAAAAAACACCAGCAAAGGTGTTTTCTGATGTTTTCTTCAGCAGTGAGATGTACCCACAGCCTACAGGCCACATGAGCTGTCTGGGGTAAGCTCTGAAGGCTGGTGAGATACTGAAGGCTGGGCACTCAGGTGCCAGAACCAGACTGGGCTTCTGAGACTGACCTCAGAGGCCACCCCTGCACCCAGAGCCCCAAAGTGGGGTGCTGTGACCAGCTGGGGGCAAGCAGCTCTGAGGCAGCATGCAGGGGTGGCTGGTGGGCAGGAATCCGCTGATTTGCATGGCTTTCCACATGCAGCCCAGATACCACCTGTGGCCTCTGAGGGGCATGCTTTAGAGAAAGGGCACAGGAGGCAGAGGTGAGGACCCACCGCTGCCCTCACAGAGGGCTTGTTTCTGTATCTTGAAATTCCTCCCATCTCACACAATTCAAATGCAGGGAGCACCGCCTTTGCAGAAGGAGCCAGGGCTGAGAGCGGCCACGTGCAGCTGTGCTTCCAGGGGAGCCTTTGGGAGACAGAGTCAGGGGCAAGGGCAGCCCCACGTGGGAACACCCCATGCTTCAGGCACTTTGCCAGGGGCCATATAAGCCTCATCTTGTTTAAGCCTCACTGCAGCCCTGTGACGGAGGGCTTTGTTGCTGCTTGCCCGCCCTCTTTCTCTCCTACATCGTTTTCTCTCCCTTTACCTCCATGGAAGGAGGGCATTCTTCCTTTCACTTTCCTCCACCCATTTTTAAATATCTTGCCTTGCATGAACCACATTGTAGCAACAGTCATGGAACCTTAAGTGAAAGAAATAAAACTTCCCACCACCAAGTCATGTTCTGTCATATCCCCATTTTATAGACAGGGCTATTGAGGCTCAGAGAGCTGAGGGGAACCATCCTTGGTCAGTGGTTGGAAGGGGGTGAAGGCAGAGTGTGGACTCCCATAGCTTCCCTGCCAATTCTGGGCCCTGCGACTCCTAAGCCCCTTCCCGCCCTGGCTCTGGGGCAGGCTCATGCTGCAGGTCAAATGGAGGGACTGCCCTGGGTGGCTCCTGTTCTGCTGTCTCTCCCAGCACCAAGGCAATGGGACCTCAGGAGGTGCCATCGTCTCTGCAGTGGTTAACACTCCTGCGCTGTGGACACCTTCCAGGGGTCCTTCAGGAGGACAGTCAGTCACAGCCAAATTGGGCCAGAGCCCCATCCCAGAATCTCACCTTTGCCCCTAATCTGCTCCTTCCCCTAGCCACATCTTTTGTCTCCTGGACTCAGTACCCAGCTCAGAGGGCCTGGGGAGATGGATAAGAGTGAAGGGGAACCACCCTCTTTGCTCTGCACCTCACCCACCCCAGCAGCCCTGCAGCCTGGGCCTGAAGCAGAACCGGGAGGCCCGGCCCCCTGGCACCAGAATTCAGTCTCCATCGACTCAGACTCTCTGCCTGGCAGGGATCTGAGCTCAGGCTGACTTCCCCATCCATGCCAGCAGCCTCTGAGCAGATCCAGGCAGGGCCCAGAAAGACACACAGCAGCCCCTAGTGTGAGGACAGTCCAGGCACATGTGCTTCCTCTACCCTCCCAGCTGGCTGTGGCCTCCCCCAAGCCCTCACCTTATGTGGCTACGACAGAGCAGGCTCCAAAGCCTGAGCTGGTGGGAGCCCATTTGGTGGTGGGGCCTGGGCGGTGGGGGGTGGTCAGGAAGGAATCTCCAGGGCCAGCCTGTCCTGGAACAGGGAGGGAGAACCCCCAGAACCCTGCAGGGATCACCTTCCGCCACCTCCACCAGCATCCAGAAAGCATTCTGCTATTAGTCATCAGCCTTCTCTAGACCTTAGTTTTCCTGTCTTTGCAATGGGGCTACTAATCCACTGGGGGTGAAGGTGGGGGTAGGGGTGGGGGTGGGGCAGGCATGCCGAGCGCAGGGGGTGAAATCGAGCATGAGAAAGCTCACTGATCCCAACTACCCCTTTACCCCTTTCCGTGAACCTCCTCCCAAGTGAGGCTGGGGTCTTCCCACTCCAGATGCCCACACGCTGCCCATGCTACCCTTATTCCTGGAGCCTCAGCTACCTCATTTTCCTTTCCCACAGCACTTACAGAATCCTGCCAACTTCCACAATGCTGCCACGGAGCTGCTGGACTGGTGTGGAGACCCACGGGCCTTCCAGCGGCCCTTCGAGCAGAGCCTGATGGGCTGTTTGACGGTGAGTCTGCACCCTGTGCACCCGCATTCCTGCCCAGGAACGTCAGCTGAGGGCTAGTGTGCCCGTCCAGGTGTCAGAGAGGTTGTCAGACATTGGGAGGTGACACCAGTGAGAGTTGGGTCACTGGGAAGACACTGGTGCTAGGGGGATGGCCCTATTGGGTGTGTCCCCCACGTGCACACCCCCCAGGGGACCTGGAATTGATGAGGAGGCACAGTCCCTAGGGATTGTGTGGGTTCCCACACTTGATGAGAAAGACTCAGGGCTCACTTTGTGGGTCACTGTTTCATCATAAGCACAGTAGAGAGACTCTCAAAGGGTTTTCAGCCATTTTTTATCCAGTCGTTCATTCATTCATTCACTTAGCAAACATGTGTGGAGCTTCTTTTGTCGTCATCCATCCATTCAGGTAAGCACTGATTGAGCCCCTCTTACATCCATCCATCTAGCCAAATAAGCATTGATCTCTCATTGATCATGTATGATCCCTCTGCTAAGTCTGGGGAAACTGAAGATGAATAAGGCTTCACTGAGCCTGGTTTCCTCTGTAGTGGAGGAGGCAGATGTATAAAGAAGTGACTGAGAAAATCATGTCCACAGTGAAGGCAGCACAGAGAAGGGAATCCTGAACTGGCTGGGTGGCGGGACGGGGCGTGGAAAACGGAGGAAAGGAAAGGAGCCACCCTTCGTATGCCGGGGTCTGCCAAGCAACAGAGGGGAGCAGGAGTGCTCAGGCACCTGGAACAGCATCTGCAAGAGGTCAGAGAACTGGAAGGGTCGAGGCTGCAAACTGGTCCAGGTCCAGAGTTTGTGGTATGATCGGCCAGGCTAAGGAGCTTGCCATCTAACAGGGCCCCATAAAAGTCACTCAAAGCTTGGGAATGTCCCCAGCCATGTGGCCTGTGTCCATAAGTGTGATGACCAGGGAGGGCAGCTGCTTAGAAGGCCCTGAGTCCGCTTTGAAAGGAATGTGGGTAAACAGATGGCAGGGGAGCCCGCCTAGCCTGAGGCTGGGAGAGGAGGGACATGGAGGATGTCTGGCCAGGCGGGAACAGTGGGCATGGCCCACGGGCACCAGGCTTCCTGAAAAGCTGGGAGGAGACAAAAGTCCCACATGGCCTTGGCCTGGAGAGGAAGAAATAGCGGCCACACGGCTATCGTGACAAAGCATCTGTTCTGTGTCCGGTGGGGAGCCGGCCCACAGAATATGCCATCCCACCAAATCCCCTCAGTGAGCCTGGCCTGCAACACTCCCCATTTTACAGAGGAGGAAGCTGAGACTTGTAACTGACTTCCCAAGGGTGCACAGCCTTAAAGGTGGGCTTGGGATTCCGGCCGAGGCCCTGCCTGTCTCCAGAGGGGATGCCCTTGGCCATTAGGGATGTCAGACAGGGACGCAGCCAGGACCCTCCTGGGACTCCTCTGCTTGTCAGAAGTCAGCACCATCTGGCTCCCTCAGGCCACCGGGCCAAATCGAGCAGCCACCTGCACTGCCCAGTCTTCCTCATCCTTCAGCCCATGGGCTCCCCTCTCCCTCCCCACAGCCCTCTAATCTTCTTTGTGGGGATCTGGTTCCAGGCTAAGCCCTGTGGGCAGGGACAGATGTTGCCAGAGGCCCCCTCACTTCCACCCCAGCGGAGGATGGAGGTGGGGACCTTGCATGATGTGTGGCCAGCCAGGCTGCCACAGTCTCCAGCACACTGCCCCGAGCCTGACCCTATCTAGGATGTAGGGACTGGAGACTGAATCAGAGAGTGGCCCTCACCAGCCTGGATGGACCAGGAACTGGCTCTGCCTTGGCCCTCTTGTCCATGCGCTCGTTCACGAACATTCACTGGGCTCTTGTTGGGGGCCAGGCTCTGTGCTGGGCCCCAGAGGGACCATTGTCAAGGGGCTGGCCTGCCAGGGGGAGCCTGACATTGAACCTGCAAAGGAGCAAACAGGGACACATGCCAGAGCTCCGGGAAAGAGGGCAAGGGCACAGGGCAGGAAATGTCTCCTGAGGAGGTGACCTCCTTGGGAGGATGAGAGAGCAGGGTGCTCCAGGCAGAGGGAACTGCTGATGCAAAGGCCCTGAGGCTTGCTCTGTTCATGAACAGAAAGAAGGTTCAGGTGGCTGGAGCCCAGGGAAGGGAGAAGGGTGTGAGATGAAGCAGAGGAAGGAGGCAGAAAGCAGCTAACGCAGGGCCCACAGGCCAAGTGAGAAGAGTCTGGGCGTTATTGGAAGGGCAGTGGGGAGCCCTTGAAGGGTTGTCAGCAGGAGAGTGATGGGCTATGACTTGCATGGGGGCAGGAGCTCTGAAGGGAGCATCTTTGGAGGGCAGGATGGAGGGATCATGGAGGGCTTCCTGGACGAGGGAGGGCCCCATGGGATCTGGCTGGACAGAGAGGAAGCCATGGCAGGGGAGGCTGTGTAGACAGTGCCCACTCTCCTGGGCCTCTGCTCCCTGCCCCCAGTGTAAGGCATGCACCTGGTGGAATGGCCCGCACTCCTGCAGCCTGGCCACAGCTGCAGAGACCTGAGTCTGGCTGTCCCTTAGAGGTCAGTAGAGCCAGCAGCTTTGAAGGGGCTTGGTGGGGGGTAGTGGGGATTGTTATAAATGACACTTCAGTGCTCAGGGTATTTTCCCTAGGCACTGTCTCTTTGGATCCTTATAAAGACCCTTTGAGGTGGGCAAGGAGTCACTCACTACTCCCATTTTACAAACAAGGCCACTGGGAGCGGGAGCAGCTTACCCCAGTCCCAGGCTGGTCCCACAGACTCTCTGGGAACCTCTGGGGCCTGTTGCCAGTACCCCCATTTCCCGGGCACCCTCAGCCCCAGCCCTGCCCCATGGAGATGAACAGGATGCGGGAGGTAGATCCCAAGGGACCTAGGTGGGGCAAGACAGCTGTCCCCTTCCCACACACATGCACACACACCCTCCCCATCCAGGTGTCAACCTGAGACCTCCAGGTTGCTGCAATCCCCTGGGTGACCTCTGGAAGCAAACTCCAAATTCCTCTGGATCCAGCTTACTTTGAGGATATAAATTAAAAACCACTTAGCCCTGAGCAGCAAATGGACACATTTCTGTCATACTCGCTTCTAAGCAGCTCAGGCAGTTAAAGTGACCCCAGACCTGGCCCTGCCCTCCCCTCTGCTTCACACCTCGAGACTTTAGGATGCGGAAGCACAGGACCCCCAGGGGCGGGCACAAGCCCCGGGCCACCACTTCCTCGTCAGAAGTAGGCCCTTCCTCCTCCAGTAGTCAGGCAGAGCAGCCCCTCTGGGTGCCCTCTCCCTCCCTCCCGTGACCTTAGGGAACGGCACAAGACAGAGGAGACAGTGGGAGAGCAGGTCCGGGAGGGAAACAGGTGTCACATCAGCAGTCCACTCCCTCATCTCCCCAACGAGGACGCCCCGCAGCTTCAGAGGAGGTCAGAGTCAGAAAGACCTTTCACGTCCCGCCCCTCTGCCAGGAATGGAGACCCCTTCTCCAGCATTCCCCAGACAGCCTGTCCTCCTTTGCGGCCAGCAGCCTGGACGCTTTTCAAGACAACTCAGTTGTTTTGTGGGACTAATGTAATTTACCATGTGACCTTGAGAAAGTGACCGTCCTTTTTTTTTTTTTTTTTTTTTTTTTTTAATTTTTTTAAATTTTAGAGACAGGGTCTTGCCCTGTCATCCAGGCTGGAATGCGGTGGCACGATCATTGCTCACTGTAGCCTCAACCTCCTGGGCTTAAGTGATCTTCCTGCCTCAGCCTCCTGGGTAACTGGGACTAGAGGCGCCTGCCACCATGCCAGGTCAATTTTTAAAATTTTTTTCTTAGAGGTGGGGCCTTGCTATGTTGCCCAGGATGGTCTCAAACTCCTGGGTTCAAATGATCCTCGCACCTCAGCCTCCTAAGTAGCTAGGTACCACAGGCCTGCACCATCACACCAGACTAAATAAATTTTTGTACAAATGGGGCTGGGCACGATGGCTCACGCCTATAAGCCCAAGCACACCTGAGGTCAGGACTTCAAGACCAGCCTGGCCAAAATGGTGAAACCCTGTCTCTACTGAAAGAACGAAAGAAAATTAGCTGGACGTGGTGGCGCGCACCTGTAATCCCATCTTCTTGGGTGGCTGAGGTAGGAAAATTCCTTGAACTCAGGAGGCGGATGTTGCACTGAGCTGAAATCATGCTATTGCACTCTAGCCTGGGCAACAGAGTGGGACTCTGTCTCAAAAAAAAAAAAAAAAAAAAAAAATTGTGTACATATGAGATCTTGCTATGTTTCCCAGACTGGTCTTGAACTCCTGGGTGTAAGCTGTCCTGCCTCAGCCTCCCCAAGTGCTGGGATTACAGGTGTGAGCTACCATACCCAGCCAAGTTCTCCATCTTTTGTCTGGACTTTAGTTTCCCTGTCTGTGGCATGAGGCTGGGCTCCCTGACCTGTGAGGTCCCCTGGCTCCAGGGATCTAGGTGTCTGGCAGCCAGGATGACAGGGCAGCCTCAGGAGTGCTCCCCCGCCCCCCGCCACCGTGGGTCAAGCAGCAGTGCCTGGGCAGCCCGCAGAGGACCACAGCGCCTCAGCCACTCACGCTGGCTTTTATGGGGAGGGGTCCTTGCACCCCACAGGACCTTCACAGAGAGCACCATGACCACTGGGGTGAGAGTGGACCTCTCTTCAAAACAAGCCGCACAGCTGAGCCCACGCTCCCACTACTGCCAGTCAGACCTTGCGTCCCAGGACTTTCTGGGGGTCCTCAGGCTGGGCCAGAGGAACCCAGGGGATAGCAATGCATGAGGCACTCTAGGGTCACAGGATTCGGTTCAGCTTACTCTGCCACACCTGTGCTCTGTGGCCTTGACTTCCTCATCAGTGAAAGGAGGCTGTTGGAGCCAGTGACCCTTCTGAATGCTGGGGCACAAATGACTTGGTGACAAGCAGAAGTCCCTGCTCCTCCACCCACCCGGTTGGCCCTTGCAGCCGCCATGTAGCACCAAGCCCCTCTAGCTCGTTAGCTAGTATTTTTTCCTTTTTAACTAGAGCAACAGGATTAGCCAGTATTGGCCAAACGTGGGGACTTTTGCCTTCCTTCCCTGAACCCAGGGCCCGAGGGTCCTCAGTGCAGTTGGAAGTTATGGCGTTAACCCTTTGTGGACTGAGAAAGAAGTCTTAGCACGGAAAGGGCCCAGAGTTTTCAGCTAGACTGCCTGGATCACATCCTGGCTGTGTCACTGACCAGCTTTGAGGTTTGTTCAACCTCTGTTTCCTCATCTGTAAATCAGAGATAATAATAATAATACGTACCTGCTGGAGCTGCTGGAAGAATTTGCACTTTGTTGCATACAAAGCACCTATGTGTGTGGGAGCCAGCATTTTCACTGCAGCACCTGTAAGCATCAGTGTTTCCCCTTGACAGCAGCCTCACGACTGCACCAGTCGGAACAGGCCGCTCTGTGCACACAGGCTTCCACCTAAGGTTCTACAAAGAGGAAAGGCACCAGAGTCCACATATGAGCTGCAGTGGCAACCTTCAGTCCAGAACCTTCCTCCTCACTCTCTGGAGGAGAGTCTACCTGCAGGCTTGAAATATTCAACAGGCCATAAAGAGTTAGGGACCTTGGTTTTGTATGTGGACAGTGAGACTTATGGTGAGGATGTCCTCACCCTGGGGTGGCCCAGAGACTGGGACATGTAGAGGGGCAAACAAAGCCTGTGGGAAAGAGGCCTAGGGAGTGTGGAAGACTTCTGTGCCGGGGGCTTCTGTCTGCAGCAGAGACGCTGAGCAAACATCCTAACCTGACAACATCCTTTTTCCTCCCAACCTGGCTCAAACATTAGCCCTGCACAGGAGGGTGCAGGGAGGGCCACAGTCCCATTCCAGGAGTCACTGGTGATCCTGGGAAGGGGAACCTGTTGGCTCCTCCCTGATTCAGCACGGGACATTCTCTGAGTCTCCAGTGTTATTTTAAATTGGTCTAGATAAATGGTGTTCCCACCCCTTTTAGCCCCAGAGCCCTTTTCACAAATCCCTGAGATACAAAGCGGCGATGGGGAACGATTCTGTTGGATCTGGGGGCCAGGCCAAACCCCATGGCAGTCTGAGGCCCCTCCAGGCGCCTCTGGAGCAGGTGGTTCCTGGAGGCTTGGCAGCTGAGTCCCCCCTTTTTCATAAGTACCAGCCTACTGCATCTGGGTGCTCTCCCCACTCAGCCATAGCCACCCCAGCTGCTTTCTAAATGACTCCATTTTCCAAGGTCCTTCCTTCTTAATAGAGAAAGCTAATTTTGCTGCTGTTAATGAGGAAGGCGGGTGTGAGGGAGCAGATCTGGGAGTCGCGGGACACCTGGAAATGGGTGGGGACAGAGTGAAGCCAGAGGGGCATGAGCTTGCAGAGTCATCCTAGGGTCCCCTGGAGCGCCCCGTCCCACACTGCCCCCCAGGGGACCAATGGCCCTGCCAGTCTCCCGCCTCTCACCCTGCCAGCCCCTGCTTCTGAGATTTATAAGGAGATGGGTGGGACCTTCAGGCTGCAAACACATCACTGCTGTTATGGAAGCCCCCCATTTGCTGGGGCTTGAGGCTAGAGACAAACCCCAGGCTGCACATGGGAGTCCTGCAGTTTCTGGCTAAGGTTGAGGGGGCCGCAGGGTGCTTGGCATGGAGCAGCATTAGGATGCCTGCCCCATCCAGGAAGCCTTAGTCCATTAAACAGCTCTGACCTGAAGCCCTGTGGGAAGCAGTTTGTTCTAAATCACTGCTTTTTTTTTTTTTTTTTTTTTGAGAAGGAGTCTTGCTGTTCTGCCCAGGCTGGAGTGCAGTGGTACGATCTAGGCCCACTGCGACTTCCCCATCCCAGGTTCAAGCGCTTCTCCTGCCTCTGCCTCCAGAATTGCTGGGATTACAGGTGCCCGCCACCATGCCCGGCTAATTTTTTTTATTTTTAGAAGAGACGGGGTTTCACCATGTTGTCCGGGCTGGTCTCGAACTCTTGACCTCAAGTGATCCACCTTCCTCAGCCTCCCAAAGTGCTAGGATTATAGGTGTGAGCCACCACACCTGGCCTAAATCACTGCTTTAGATGAGGTGCATGCTGATTCGGAGGGGAAGGGCTGGGCCTAAGAGTCTGCATTTATAACAGGCCCCATGGAAAGGAGATGGAAGAGCCACACAGATGGAGCAGAGACCCTTAGGGCCCACCCTAAGGATGGTGGTACAGGATCCCCAGCCGACTTCTAGAATGTGGTCGAATCTGAGCCCTTGGAAGCAGCAGGGCCTATGGGTTTGCTGTCGGGACCATTGTCAGCCTGGGAAACCCCTGAGGACGGGGCCAGGATCCCAGGGCCTGGCACGGAAGAGGTGTTAATCAGTATTTGCTGAGCGACTGAAGAAGGCACGGTAGACTCCTGGCTCCACCTGATGGCGGGGGCCTGCCTTAGCCTGCCTACCTCACCCACTTCACCTGCAAAACGGGCATATCCACTGGCTCTGGGCTCCGTGACTCACCTGCCCTCCTCCCCTCTTGCTGTCAGGTGGTCAGTCGGGTGGCAGCCCAGCAAGGCTTCGACCTGGACCTTGGCTACAGACTACTGGCCGTATGTGCTGCAAACCGAGACAAGTTCACCCCGAAGTCTGCCGGTAGGTGTCCGTGGGGGACTCCGCGATGTCATCGGGAGGTAGGGAGGGGAACTGACTCTAAACCAGGCCTGTCTGCTGCCCCTGCCGGCTGGTGCCTCCATTTGTCTAGGTGTAGTGCGAGCCCCTGAGGAAGAGGTACTCATCCAACAGGCTCTGGGACCCACAGATGGGGCTGTCCCTGTGCCTCTCCCAGGGAGTATACTTGTCTCAGAGGGTACCGCAGGGCCAGAGAGGGTCCCAAGGCACACCAAACCCCAGCAGCAGGCACTGTGCTACAGGCAGGACCAGCATCAGTTCACTCCATCACCACAGTGACCCCTTGGCATAAGCACTGTGATCTCCCCATTTTACAGATGAGGAAACTGAGACTCACTGACACTGAGGACATTTCCCAAGGCCACACAGCTGGAAGGCAGCACAGCAGGGATTTAAGCCCAGGCCTGTACTTCAGAGTCAGCATTCTTAACCTTTATACTCCACTACCTTCATTCATTCCCCAAAAATTGTTTAAAATGTAACAAAATTGAAAACAAAATGAATCACTACACTCAGGGTTCCGTATTGCAACTTTGTCATCACCTGCGGACCCTGTATTAAGCAGGGGCCATGAAGAGTGCCAAGCAGCATTCTGTCTGGGAGGGCTTTGAGCACTTTTTAAAGATACAGTTTTATTTTACATTTCCCACCATCCTCATAACCTTGCTTAGGCCTCAGGCGCCCTGCTAGCTTTAAGCCGGACAGACCTGTCACTTGCTAAGTGTGTGGTCTCTGAGCCTCAGCTGATCTCTCAGGGAAGGCAGGAATGATAAGGAGACCCCTGACTTCAGGGGTCATTGTAAGTGCTAGAAATACATAAAGTGCCTAGCACCATGTCTGGATATTGTTAACATTCCTTATGGAGTCAGGACAAGCAGTTGAAAAAGCAAAAAAGAAACAGTTATTTCCTTTGTATAACAATAAAACGGACGTTTTCACTGAATTCATCAGTCAGTTCTTTGGAGTGTATATAGACACAGCCTTCATGAAAACGTTGTAAGGACATCTCACAATGTGTTTCCATAAATATGCTCAACTTATAATCTCACGTGGATGGCGCTGCACACGTAAGTGTGTGGTGGCCTCATTAGCCAATAGCTACTCTGAAACCCTTGGCCCACCTACATTGGGATATTGCTATCGTATTGAATTGCTTGCCAGAAAATGGTCTTGGAATCTCACAAGGGACATCTATTCCTGATGGAGTGTGCTGTTTTCATAATGACTTAAGTCAATACAGTGTTGACAAGGTAGAAATGACTTATCAAAGACACATACCTCTTGAGTGCCCTTACTGTGCAGGCACCCGGCAAGGGCTGAATTTACAAGGGCAACCAAACAGAAAAGGTCCTGCCTCGAGAAACTCACAGTGCAGAGCAGGGGCCAGCAAGCTTTTTCCATCAAGGGCCAGACAGTATATATCTTAGGCTGTGGGGGCTCTGTGAAAGCTGCCATAGATAGTACGTAGAGGAATGGAGTTGGCTGGTTCCACGAAAACTTTATTTATGAAAACAAGTGCTGTGTGAGGTAATCCCAGCACTTTGGGAGGCTCAGGCAGGTGGATCACTTGAGTTCAGGAGTTCGAGACCAGCCTGGGTAACATGGTGAAACCCCATCTCTACAAAAAAATACAAAAATTAGCTGGCTGTGGTGGTGCACGCCTGTGGTCCCAGGCTGCTTGGGAGGCTGGGATGGGAGGATCACTTGAGCCTGGGAGGTGGAGGTTGCAGTGAGTCAAGATCGAGCCACTGCATTCCAGCCTGGGTGATAGAGTAAGACCCTATCTCAAAACAACAACAGCCAAGAAACCAGAACAAAAAAACCAAGTGATTAACGATACTTCCTGATCCCTAGTCTAGAGGGAGAGGAAAACATTGATCAAATAATTAGAGGGGTGTGTGTGTGTGTGTAAGCTCAAGCTGTGATAAGTGCCTTGAAGGAAAAGTGAAGGATGGCAAGGGGATGTTGTTGAGGGCAGACCACTCTGGGGTTGTAGCAGTCTCCCCCGAGACCCAAAGGTTGATAAGTGAAGAAAACAAGAAAGAGCATCTTTGCAGTTAAGGGGACGGCCTGTGCAAAGGTGTTGAGGTGGAAGGGGAGCATGCATAGCTTTTTGTCAGAACTAAGAGAAAGGCAGTGATTCTGGAGCCCAGAGGCAGGGGGTACATGGCAAAGGTGAGGCTGGAGAGATCAGCAGCAGCGGAAACATTCAGAGCCTGTCTTGGAGGTCACGGTCTTTGTCCTGAGAGTGATGGGAACATGGCTAAATGCTCATTTTGTGACGACGGCTCTGGCTATAAAAGAACAGATTGCACGGGGGCTGGAAGCCCACCTGGATGTAGGTGGCCAGTTGAAAGATCACTGGGGAGGTCGGGGTGAGGATGATGGTGGCTGGATCAGGAAGACAAGAGTAGAATGGAGACAGAGGGATATTTAAGAGGCAAAACTATGCCACAGAGGGAGAAGGAGACCTGGAGAATGGGCTGTCCCAGGAGCCCAGCGCCTCTCCAGAGGAGCAGGAGAGACTCAGGTCTCCGTGCAGCCCCTTCACAAAGGGTCACTGAAACCCCTGCCCTGCTGACACGTGCTGGGCGTTCTCGTATGTTTTGTGGCGGTGCTCAGCTTTGTGAGACACGGAATACTATCTACATTTATGGATGAAGAAATGGAAGCTTAGAGAGGTCCTATGACTTCCCTGAGGTCACCCAACTCATAAGTGATGGGCTGGAACCTGAACTCCTAGCCCCCTGGCTGCAGGCCCAGGGCTCTGCCTGCCCCATCACAGCAGGCCTGGGCAGCCCTCCATTTCTGTTGGAGAGAGCCCTTCATGCTGCTCAGGCGTCTCTAGCAAGGCCTCTGAGTGGCATTCCCAGCATCACTTCTTCGCTTGAAACAGGGATTTGTTCTTTCCTCCATCTGCACCCCCGCTTGAACACAGCCTTTATAATTTAGAAAGCCCTTTCCCATGCATTGTGTCTGTGAACTCACGTGACCCTCTGACACTACACAGGCTCCCAGGAGATGAATTCTCAGTGTACCTGTTCTGCAGCTGAGAACACTGAGGCACAGCAGTGCCTGTGGCTTGGCCATCCTTGAATTCCCTTATTAGGAGTCAAACCCTTGTCAGTGCCCATAGCCATGACTAACTACCTTTCAAGGCCACCCCTCCAGACATACGGGCTCTTGGGATCCCAGTCACCCCCTGCTTGCCCCATCTTCTGGAAAGGAAAGGGGGCCAGTCTGAGGGGGGAGCCTCCACCTGCTGATTTTATTTGAGGGATGAAGGGCCTGCTAGGGGCAGGCTGGGCCATAAGAGGGGTGGAGGCTGTGGTGAGCCAAGCTGGGACCCCAAGTCCCAGATATGGCACCGGCGCCGGGCCTCCTCTTGGCCACCTGTCTGAGCTGTGGCCTCGTCTGTGAAGACAGCTGATTTGCCCAGGTCATGGGCTGCCTGTGAGGATGCAGTGGGACCCCCTAATAATGGGAGTGAGGAAGGGGCCCAGCTAATACCTGACACACACTGGGGGCCAAGTAAATATGACCCTCCAGCCTTCCTCCTCCACTTCCATGTGTCTGTCTCTTAGCCAGTGTGACTCCCAGCCTTTCTAAGGCCCTTTCTGTGGCAGCAAGCCTGTTTCCCACTGGCCTGTCTCCCCTTGTCTCTGTACGTGTGCGTGACCTGCAGTGACCCTGCCCCTGGGCACAGCCCCAGTGTGCCTGTGTGGGGTTGGCCGCTCCCACCTGCCCAGCCCACTCCCAGGGAGGCCTCTGCAGTTCCAGAACTTGCTCCAGCCCTCAAGCCCCTTCAGCCAGTCTGGACCACCTGTCCGCCCTCCTGCCTTTGCACACCTGTCTGACATGCCTGTGCAGTTCTGCCCTCCCAGGGCTCCCCACTCTGTTCTCTCTTCGGTCTCGGTGTCTGTAGGTCTGTCTCTATGCAGCGGCCCCTGTCCATCTCTGGCTTCCCATGGCTTTCTCTGCCTTCCTGGGTTTCTCTGGGTCTCAGACTTTTTCCCTCTGTAGGTCTGTGTGTATGGTGTGTGTGTGGCTGTGTATGTTTGTGTTGGGGAGAGTATATGGCTTTGTATGTGGGTGTGTGCCTGTGTACCTGTGCATGCCTGCGTGTGTGTCTGCATAGCTGTGTACGTGTGTGTATCTGTGCCTGCTATGTATGGCTGTGTACATGTACATGGCTGTGTCCATGGTGTGTGTATGTCTATGATGTATGTGTACCTGTGTGCGTGTCTGTGTGTGCGTGGTTGTGTACATGTATGTATCTGCATGGTGTTTGTGCATGGCTGTGTATATGTACATGCTTATCTGTGTCTGCATGCATGTTATCTGTGCGTAGGTGCATGCCTGCGTGAGTCGCCCTGGCGCTGCGTCCCCCTGTCTGTCTCCCTTGTCAGGAGGCCAGGCCAGCCAAGGAGGGCCAGGATGAGATCATGCAGTGAGCGAGCTTGGAGCAGGGCTTTGTCAGGAGAGCTGGCGGTGAGCCGGCCGTGGTGCAGGAGCACGTGTGTGCATGTGCGTGCATGCATGCGTGTGTGTGTGCGTGTGTGTGTGTCCTGGGAGAGTGCTAAGGAGGCGAGTGCAGGCAGTCATTGCAGCAGCCGCCAGGCAGGCGGCTCCACGCGGCCCTGGACGCCCAGCCCCCAGCTCTTTGTTCTGGCGCAGCCTTTAGCCTCAGAGCGCGCTCACAGGAGCACGTGCGTGCGCGGGCGGGATCCTCCTCCTCACCAGGCCCCCTACCTCCTCAGTACAGAAGGTCACCTGTCCGGCCCGGCATCCTGATACTCCCTTGATTCTCCCCAGGCCTGGCCTTAGCATTGCCCCACCCCCACCCTCCATGCCAGCCCGAGGGGACTTGGTGGGCAGCGCTGAAATGTCAGCCTCCTCAGCACCGAGCAGTCCCATGCCTGCTGGCATCGTGGGCATCAGCACCAGGCTGTCACCATGTCCAG